AGGTATAGTATATTACTTCTCACTTGTACGAAAGAAAAAATAGAATTTTCCTTTTCCCATTATGCTTACAGTCTCACTAGAAAGATATAATGTATCACTATCCCTCTTGTCTAAAGACACCTTTCTTGTTGGATGGTGACACACTGTTATTTTTGTTCAATGGAATAGAAATTTTGTCAGTATATCATTATACACTTATCTATAAAAAAAAAAAACTAATAATCTAAGGAGATTACGCATAAGTTTTCGTTTTCATGTCCTTCTTTTTCTTTTCTAACTTTTCTTTCAGACTTCAGTCAGTAAATGAATCAAAGTCGAGTAATAATAATAATAATAATAATAATAATAACAATAATAATAGGACAACGCATTTTATTTGACATTCGAAGGTGAAATAAAGCCATACTTTATTTAGTATCCGTTATGTATGGTCTTTTAATTGATAGAGATTTGTCATAATAATAAATAATATTAATAATATCTAAGAGACGAGAAATATATATATATATATATGTATATGTATCACCTTTTTCGTTATGTTATTTTACATCTTTTGTTATCGTTTGAAGCTGAGGACATCACAGAACGAGATATGACTCATTTTCAGGTGATGATAGTTAACATAACGAAGGAGAAAAAAAGATAAATTCTATCAATGACAACTACTAATGGATTTTTTTATACATAAAAAATTTCATTTATAACTGTGTTGAAATTTTTACTGATTCAATGACACTGTTTGTCAATCAAATCATTGTTCAACATGACTGTTAATTATATGTTAATTCGAATTTCTTACTTCAGACAATCGAGGGATAGTGATACATTATATCTTTCTAGTGAGACTGTAAGCATAATGGGAAAAGGAAAATTCTATTTTTTCTTTCGTACAAGTGAGAAGTAATATACTATACCTAGAACAAAACACACTCTTCAAAAGATATCAAATTGTTTTGTTTTTTTATTTTAAAATTCAGAAACAATAAATTTAGAATAGTAGAAATAAATATAATAACTAATTTTAATTTTAATTTTAATTTTAATTACTTATTTAATTATTTTATTTCGATATTTTGATAAAAATTTTTTTTTATTATTATCAAGAAAAACATAAATCTTCGTTACAATACATTTTTTGTCTATAATTGAGTTAATAAAGTAATTCAGCCATTAATGATGCAATTTACTAATTGATTTGAGAGAATTATTACTTTAAGACCGAAACGTCTATCTTTAACAGAAAAATAAGTTAATTAAACTATTCGGTACTTTATTATTTATAAGCATAAAAAAAAGTCATCTTCAATAATCCTTTTGATCAAAATTATTGTTAAAACTGAATAATATAAGTTATGGTGTGAGAGTACTCATCGTTATTTTAGATGAAGAACAGCTGGAATCCAAAATTTTCTTGTCTTTTAGAAATATATCATCCAACACTGAAGATTTTTATCTTATTAGTTTGTTAAACAGCACACTTAAATATCTAGTTTTTATTTATTCATAATGTTCTTCCATGTTTTATCTTAATTAATAGAAAATTTTATTTGACAAGTCTGATCACTATCCGTATATTTGATAGATATAAAATGCAAGGATTTATAATTATCTGCTGAAGGAATATTTTTTCTTTTTCTTCTTCTTTCCATGTTATTGTAGTTGTTGATATCTACTTTCTTTCTCTCATTGCGACAGGATAAACTTTTTTTTATTATGACCAAACTATGTATCAACAAATCAAATAGGAAATAAATGAGAATATGTAACATGGATATAGCAGCAGTATAATGAATGACTTGCAGATCCTGTCGGTGATGTTCTTAACTTTACATCATACATTATGAACGTGTTTTTTAGAAAAAGTATAAAAAGGTCTTTTATCTATCCAATCTACTTGACAGTATTATTTTGAGGTACGTATTAGTAACACTTTTCAGATGGTGATAGTTTAATAATAAAATTATTTGATGTGAAAATGAGTAATATGATTTCTAGTTTAAGGTCCCCCTCCCTCTCCTAGAAATTATCTCCGACACTGTACATCCGATCTTGACGAAACTTTCCATAAATGTTAAGTTTAAAGAGTTGCGGGAATTTGAACAAAAAATTCGACAAAAAATTAAGACCTAATTCAAAAATCGACGTTGGTTAGTCCATGTAGTTTCTTTTCCTCGTTTAAAAATTATTATTTGAAGATCCAGTTTTCTGAGGCTTCTAGAACACCTGCTCAAAATCCACGAAAAATTACTTCTGTAACCAAAAGCGATACAGATTCTGAAAGTAGACACTTCAGGCTACCTTTCCATGTGCTTATCTCAAAATCGATTTTTTGACTGAAAATCGCTATTTCAGAGCAGGAGGGCTTAACGAAAAATTCTATGGTGTAAATTTTCGAAAGTCATTGCTTTTCTCTAATATCTAGTTTCCTAATTTGAAATTGAAAAACTATTGTTTTTTTTTATTTTAGTCTGATTACTAAAGTGCTATGACAGACCAAATCAATTATTCTCATTCACACAAGACGACATTAGTTAAGAATCCAGAAGAATTTTTACAGTTTGCTAATGAAATTCTTCGTAATAAAAAACAAACAACGACACAAATACAAAATAATAATGATCATAGTTTAAAAGAAAACATTTCATGGACAAATATTCCTCGTCAACAATTTTTAGAAATACCGATAACCGCAGTCACCACTGCCACTTCACTTCAAAATAACACAACAATTTCATCGGGACTATGTGTATTAAATAATTTATGCCGTTTAATTGAACAAATTCAATCATTACGAACAGAAAATGAACATTTACGTTTACGAATCGATACGATTGAAAATATGAATAAATTTCAACGAATGCAAGACCAATTACATTTAGAAACTGAAAATATTTTAACAACAAAACGAAAAGTAACTCTGAGAGGATCATTAAAAGAAAATAATACTGGAGGAGGAGCATCAGGATCGAGAAAAAGATTAAAATTTTTAAGAGATAAACTTCGATCCTATGATGATAGTCTACTAGGCGAGATAAATCAAAATAATAATAATAATAATAATAATAATAATAATAATAATAATACATTAAAGACAACAATAGTTTCTGTGGGTTCCATCAAGAGAGTAAACACAAATGAGGATAATCATCATCATCTCAAAGCATCAAGTATGATTATATCATCAAGTGATGAACAAAATTGTAAGTCTTATATGCTACTATCATACTGGGCCTCATCAGCATGCATATGATATATTAAATTTTGTTTGAGTAAGAGACTAGAAGAATATAAGATTCTCGTTTCGTTAACCAGTCTGTCATTCTTCTGTTTACCCCAGGTGGTGGATATTATCCAGAGAATGATGATCTATTCTTTTATCTGGATCCAGTTTTATTACAAATGGATGTAACATTGTTTTTATTCGTAGAAATTCGGTATATGCAATTTACAAACCCCTAGATAAAGAGATAAATGTCGAGATGATAGAAATAAAACGAGGATCGTATAATCATCTGTTTTGTCGCTCTCTTTATGCAACAGGAGCAAAAGAACATCGACTATTGTTCTGAATATTATGAATTTGGCCGTCGTACACTTTCGCAGTAGACTTTCGGCAATTTGTCGAAAGTACAGTTTTGGTTGAGAGTAATTTTTAGTCCAAGGCGGGACTTTCGGCAATTGCCGAAAGTTTTATTGGAGTTGTAGAACTCACTAATTAGCCATGTTTGTCATGTTGTCAACCTCCTATAGCATCCTCATCGACTATAAAACTGTCATGCTGCAAACAAAACTTTCGCCGTAACCGGAGTCGAAACTTCGGCAATTTGCCGAAAGTTCAGTTTTCGTCGAGAGTAATTTTTAGTCCAAGGCATGATTTTCGGCAATTGTCGAAAGCCCACTGCGAAAGTGTACGACAGCGAATTTCACGTTGCCCATTGTTTTGGGGTTATTACTTGCATCATAGTATTTTCAAATATAGTAAGAAAGCTTCTTTTAAGTACCTAATAATCTGCATACGTTTAAGAGCAATAAAAGTAGATCGAAAAAACATTTAATTCTCTTGTCAGCTTGAAAAATGAAATGAAATATGTCATAATGGGATGAAATTTATGCAAAGATTTAACACAAACTTGTTTTTACGACCGTTTGTACTTCATTTTTGAAGTAGAACAAGCTTGCTTACCGTACATTACCTAGGTATTGTAAGATTTTCCATGAAAAAACAGAAAATAGTCTCAGACATATGAGA